GCAGTTTCAGAAGCTACAGGAACCGGATCATCTGCCGAGGTTGCTGCAGCAGCACCTGGAGCTGCTCCTAGAACATTTCCAGTAGATGCAGCAGCGCTTCCTGTAGCTCCGTCAGTAGCAGCAATTGTCGCATCGGGATTGCTGAGAATCCTGGAAAGGAAAAACTGCTCTGTTCGTAATAGAGGATTTATAGGATACTGAATATATTTCACATTTATAAGGGAAAGCGCGAACGCAGTCCCAACACGAATAAATTGTGCGTCCGAGTTTCTCGCTTTGGAGAAATCGCAGGGGTCAACCTCCGCGCAGTGCAATGCGGAGGCCTCGCCCTGGACCACCTCTCTGCTTGATCAGAGGACGGTCGACGCCAGGTAAGTATGATCGGTTCTGAGACCCTCAGTTCATCTAGAAGAAACATAACTTTATGATTTCATAATAATACAAGAATAGTGCAAGCTTCTGGTATCTTTATGCTAAAAAAATTCTAGTTCATTACTTGATTCTTTAAATTATTTTGAGCACTTTCACCAAGTCCTACACTCGCGTCTATCTTCATTTCTGGATCAGAAAAAGACTTACCAATTGGTTGAAAGACAAAAAGAATTAAGTTATTGCTCAAAAAGGTCTGAATTCAGAGTTCGCCAATGTTCAGTTTAATTTTGCTGAGATATTTGTGCTTTTACAGCACCGAAAGCAAAATGTGACCACGATTGGTAGTTCACAAAATGGTATTTTAGTCATGCCGTGACTTGTATTTGACGAGATAAATGTGCGCAAAACCTCAACTCAAACATGGTAAGTAAGGAAATGTTTATTGCTCAGCGAGTCATGCGAATGTAACCAATATACAAAATTGAATACAAAATAGAAACGAATAAGAATATTAGAACCGAATATGCAAGTAGTAGATTGGTAATAAAAAATAGTGTCCCTCAAATTGACGTATATAGTAGTACCGACTTGCTTCTCGTAGCGTAAAAAATTGAAATAACAATATTGCAGTAGAAAAAAAAGTAGTGTATTTTTTCCTCACCAATTGACGACTGTCTCCATTTCCTTGCTCCCTGTTGCCTTTAGTCCCGCTTGGCTAAAAAATGGAAAAATTATCACTAATAGTATCGCAAGAGTATCAATAACCCTACCAACGCTCGCTAGAGTATGTAAAAAAGCTAAGCATAGGTGCACACTTTTTAGTTCACCGCGCGAGTGACAATAAGAGAAACAATTAGCTGAGATATATTTTAACAAACCCAGAAAAAATATGCTTAAAAAAGTTAAATCATAGTTTTTAACTTTGAGCATTTTTCAGTTATTTGAAATTCACTCTGAAATTGACTTTACCGAACAATAGGCAATTCTAAAGCAACGGAGAATTTAATTTGAGCAGTTTGTTCTTTATTTTGAAAACCACAAGCTTGAAGCAATTCAACTCTTCAAACTCTGCAAGAAAATTATCGGATCTACTTAACAATCCCCATCTGGTGTCTTCTAAAAATCTCGACCGCTATAAAAAAAAATACAGTAAATTAGCACTAGAGCTTTGTATTGAGATTTATAATTTTGCTGCATTCTGATTGGTCGAAAATTTGACTAACTTGATCTACTTAACAAACTCCCCCCTTTGTTGCAGGGGAGGGGCAAGGGTGTAGTGGGAGAGGTTGTTTAGTAGATCAAAAATATCTTTTGAATTTATAGGAGACTTGTACAACTTGCGATACACTTTGAAAACCAAACTAAGCTAGCGCCTAAACAATTGCCAAGAGATCCGAACTTGAAAATTCAAAAAGTTTTTATTAAGTCCAATACCTATTCAGCTCAATGCCGTGAAATCTACCAAACCCCAACCAGAACACTTCATGTAAGAAGCTATAAGTCAATCCTTTGAAAAAAATGAAGAAAGATGTGCAAACTAAGCAGCAGGAAGAAAATTAGAACCAAGAGAATCGGAGCTTCACACCAATTGCAATAAACCGAAATACTATTTCAAAAAATAATAATGACTATTTGAAATTTTGCAAGACTAACCACGATAAATTCATTCTCCTTTACACTTTGAAATTATGGCCGGTTGTTTCCTCAAAATTTTGAAAGCAGATAAAACTCATAACTTCAGATAGCTTCAAACATAAAACTCCAATCATTCTTGCGCTTAAAAGTAATATGAAAAAAAAAGAGCCATCAGAACGTTGAAAAAATGTTACAAAAAACCTAGAAACCGAAAAAAAAACCTCGATTCAAAACATTTTTCAACTTGATGATTTTATTTGCTTTTTAAGGAAAAGTCCTAAAATAAGACTCTAATCACTACAGAAGTGCATCAAACATATTAAAGCTATTGATATTGAAAAAATAAATAAATAAAAATTATTTTGTAGAAAAAAAAATTAGCTAAATTCCTTTAAACTCAATATGATGTTTTTCAATTATTATAAAAATGGCTTAAATCAGAAGAAAATTGCATGCTGTGGAAACTGAGCCAACGAAAAAAAAACAGACAAACGATAGCTTAGTCTTTGTCATCCCAGGCTTGTACGTTATATTTACGCTAAGCGGGCGCAAGTAGTAGCAGGTGTTTGGTATACCAACAGATGAATTCTATGAATAATTTTTTCAACGGGTGAAATATCTTTGCTTAAAGATATTTCACCCGTTGAAAAAATGATTCAAAGAATTCATCTGTTGGTATACCAAACACCTGCTACTACTTGCGCCCGCTTAGCGTAAATCTATAATTCAAAACCTATAAAGTTTTCATTCCGCTGGGCAATCTCGAAACTAACATCCCCTTCCGAATCTAGAAGTCGATAAATTTTTCGCGACCTTTACACTTTTGCTGTTCGATAGTGGAGTTTCCTTTTCTTTTAACAAAGAAAATGAACTGAACGTAAAAAGAAATCAAAAGTTAAAAATCGAATTAGAGCGTAAACAATTTTTAAAGTTTTCAAATAACAAAAATAACACAGAGGCGAAGCTGGGCTTCGCAAACACTTACCAGAACACGACCAAAAAGCAGTTCTATCAAGTGAAAAACGAAAAAGTAGAAATAAGCCTCGAATTTCCAAGAACTCAAGGCTGAGCAAAAACTCGAACTAGCAGAAATCTGCGACCTAGTAAATTTGAGTCTCACGCAGTAACGATTCAGCCACGGATGCTGAAAATCCCCAAAACTAGCCACCATAAACGCAGCCAGCTACATATGCTAATAAATTTCCAATTCGATGCAGCAAAAATAACACCAAATACAAAAAGGTACAACTTAGCATGTAATAAGTTGCAAATCATAAAGCCACATTATGTATAAATTAGGCATTTCAAAAATAGCTTAATTTAATAGAGATACATTTAATTTTTATGTCGTTTGAAACAAATAGCTTTTTTCGGCTCAGTTGATGAATTAAAATGCATCAACTGTGTAAACTTACAAATATTCGAATGTCGAAGCACATCTTCAATAAGCTATAAAGGTGCAACAAATAAGCTGTCATGACAATTCGATGCAGCAAATATTGTTACTTTAAGTTGCAACAAAATTCGCAAAAATATTTGCGACTTATGTTGGGTAAAAAAGAAAGTTCGTACTAAAACACTTTGCTTCGCAAGTGTAATCATTAAGACCTGTATAAGAGTGTAGTGTTCACTACGTTCATGACTCTTAATAATTAATATCAAATGAAACAAAAATTTCGAAAGCTCTTGAAACACTGAACAAAAATCAAAAAAGGGTAATGAGAGACTTATAAGACTATTGCTAATAAAATAGGTTTATTAATAACCGCATGCTGCCTAGCAAAAAAAAACACTCATCATTACAAACCAATTATTCAACGGTTCAACGATTGCGAGTAATGTAGCTGACATCCCTCAGAGTTAAACTGATCTCAGTTTTGAAGATGTAGCCAGGTGACAAGGAATGCTACACTGCACAAACCAAATTTGTAAATAAGACAACATAGTTTGTGTCGGAATAGTAACACAGTGGCCAAGCTTCACTTTGCAAACAAGCAAAGTAGTTAAAAGACAAACGGAATACAACAACTGAACATGCTGTTTAAAAGGTACTGATAAATTAAATCTAATATAGAATTATTAGGGCCAATTGGCTTGCCTCAAATTAATTTGGAAAATAATTGAATTTCATTCAAAATTTGGATTAATTTGTCGAGTTCAAATGCATCGCGCTTACATATTGAACATCATAGATAATTGCATAGAATTGCGATAATTTATTCCAACAAATTTAAAACTTGCTTTTGTTTCACGACTCCAAAAATTAAACAAAGGACCGCATTTGCGATAACTTTTTCATTCGAGGGCGTCCCTCAAAAAAATCAAGAAAAACCTTCAGAAACTCAGAATTACCCAACTTTGGTACATAAGAAGGCAAGCGATAAGAATGATTTCTTGAACAACTGAGAAATTACGCCTGTAAAAGAAAACAACTTTTTCTCGATTATATTCTAGATAATACTCAGCTAGCTGATCGACATGTTTCGCTGATTTTTAATAGATCACCTTTTGTCATTTCTTAATTGTGATAGTAATCGCAGAGGATAGCTACTTGTTAGGCTGAATATCCTGTTCTACATATTCTGATGCAGTAATGTATTTTGATTTTCAACAAGGTATTGAATCCGCACCTGCATCGTTTAATATGGCATAACGGTCGCTAACGCCAAAAAAAAATTCACCGGAAATTAAAATTTCTGGACTATTTGAAAACATCGGAAACTGAGTATTCAATATGTACAGAAAAAATCTTTTCCCAAATCGGAACCAGTAAAAGACTCCGTAACCGGGCAAAGCCTATAACATCGTTCTGCAGCTTTAGTAAAATCAATGATCCACTGATTTATTTAACTTACATTTGCTCATCGGTAAACCCCATATCCTTCAGACTGGCAACCATCGCCATCTCTGAAAAAAAATTGGAGGAAGTTTAGAACGCCATTTCAAAACTACTGGCATGCCCTGTAAAAGCCCTTGCGTTCTTGAAAAAACACTTTTATAAACGAAATTGCAATTCTAAATAATAGCAACATAATTCGAGTATATCTATATAAAATATTCAAAATTTACATAAATTTGACAATTTCGTTATCTTCAGTCTGGAAAAAAAAGACAGTTTAGCGCCAAAAATGCCACAATAAGAATTCAACATTATCGTTGGGCTATCATGACCTCTGAATCAATCTTATCTCATAATTTATGCACTACTGATGAATCATTAATACCAATACATTTAACGTGTCATGCAATTGTCTACAGGTAATAGTCAACAAGCTGTTCCGCTCAACTCTACAAATGAAGGCAGTTTTTAACACTCTTTTGATAATTTAAAAGATCAACTTTGAGCTGAGCAGAAATTTTTGGACAAATGACAACTTTTTTTGGATAGAATTCCGAATAATTCATGACAATTAACTAGATTCATTCGAGAATTTCATGCGCTATATAATCAAATTTCTGCAATCGTATTTTAACTAAACTTGAGATAGGGTCTGATTTGGTCAGAATAAATAATTTCCATTAATTAATTTTTATTTAATCAGTGTCATTCTGGTCGAGTATTATGATATAATCAATTGTGGCCTCGATCAGAATATATTGATGTAGTTGTCAATCTTTCCCTTCTGTCCTTGGGCGATACACTCTGCAATCCAAACGATATTTCTGTTCTCTTGTTCCTTCAGTTTCACATAACTGTAGAATACTCCGTAGTTGAAGTGGTAGAGGAATGCCTTCCTGTTCAGATTCACTTCGTACTCGAAGAATTTGTCCTCTAGAGTTTTCTCGCCCGGCCCTGATCCACAGCTTTCGAAGCAGGCGTTGTACTCGGCGTAAAAACCGGCTACTTGACGAACCTGGAAATCATTTATAGTTTAGCACTTAGCACTCTTTTTGTTCCGATTTTCGATACGAAAGTAACGGAATATTTGTGCTCGGGGTGGGTTTTTTTCTTCAGACAAATTTCAACTTTTTAACTAGCCATTTTGACGGAATATTTTTATATCATTCGAAATCTATTGTTGTCCTTCCTGAGCTTAAATTTGAAAAGATATTTCACCTGCGATCATTTTTCGTAAAGTTATGAGGGTTTAAAGATTGCCATTTTGAACAATTAGGGACAATTAACGCGCGATATAATTCGCGCTATTAACGCGTAAACGGAGATTTAATCCGTCTTAGAAATCGTTCCAAATTGGTTGAAAGAAGCTTACTTGCCATAATTGATTTGTTACAAGGAGCAAAATCTATTGTTTCGTACTTTAAATGGCGTGTGCGGTGATGATTTTTATTGAAAAATTTTCAAATTTTAGAAAAGTTTTTCATTTTATTTTATTTCATTTAATTTTTTGGATCTACTTAACAACCCCCCCTCTTTCAAGAAAGGGGGGTTTCTTTAGTAGATACAATAGGGGGGGGGGGGGGAGATTGTTAAAGAGATCCAATTTTTTTATGCTGTTTATGCTATTACTGCTCCATAAAGGTTAAAAGGCAGTCGGAACTTTCACCCGTTACCCAATAGATTGTATTGGTTCTACCCTGCCATTCAATTATTGCAATTAATTGCCGGATGCTTTGAGAATTTTTTTTTTGGGTAACACTGAATCAAAACAATCAACCACGCATAATTATTTTATCCACAACAGAAATGTCCCAAAAACGCTTGTTAACATAGAGAAAAAGATTTTCTTCGAGGCTCCCAGGAGACAAGCGAACTTGTTTGCTCGTATGGGGAGTGCAGTCAAAGGCTTTAGGCATGGCTGTGCTCTGAAACCAAGTGATGGCTGAAATGAGTCAATTTGCGTCAGCAACACTTCCGGCTAATCACTGGCAGTTGCGGTGTTTGCACGCTTTGATCATATTGTTACACTATATTGTCGACAGGACAATCAATTATTGTATTGTGTGAAAGCTGACAATCAATTATTGTAATATATTATATTGCAATATATTGTGACCGCAATATATTTTTACGCATCCCTGGTTTCGTAGCACTCAAATTATATTTTTCATTCCGCATGACAAAAACCGCGATAAAATTACTCTCCATCTATTGTTCTTAACACGCAATCTATGTTTGTGATAAAATCATGATGCACAGAAAGTTCGAGCACAGTGTACAGTTCTCTCCAAACACTTTTAATTTAACCTTTTTATGAAACCGTGAAAAGCTAAATCAAGACTTTCTCGCTCTGAAATGCTGACGTAATCAAATAATTGAGATCTTAGTTTCGAAGTCGTCCTTTTCGTACAAACCTGTTCGTAGTCGTCACATCTAGCCAATGCAGCTAGTCCGTATGGGAACAGCTTGCCACACTTGGGGTAGAGGAGAGCCCGGTCGTCTTTGGTGAGTTCAGTTCCGAACGAGTTGATCGTGATGATGAAGGCCCTTCTGTCGGCCTCGAAGGCAAGCAGCTCACACATGGATTCGGCAGTGGTGCCCCCGAGGGTAGAACAGAAGCGGTAGAAGTCCTCCAAATAGGCCTGAAACGCAAAACTCCATTTTTAAGACAACACTTCCGAACAGTAACAAGAGCGATAAAATAACATGATTGGATTGTGAAACAGCATCCTTTTCTTGCCAGATATGTCCTTGTTGCAATAGGTCTGTAGACCAGCAGACAATAAGCTCCTCCCATCTGCATCCCGACAGGTCAAGGTCGCAGGCAACGGTTTCTAATTCTATTAAGTCATTAGAACTTGTCAAACGATTTGAGATTTTCCCACTCGGAACTCGTGGTACATATTATCCGGGCAGCGGTGGAGGTCATAACGCTACAATCACTCGTGAATATAACGCCTGGTGATCATAGACACCGGAATAACGTCTTCATGACGAGGCTGATGGATTTTTTATCAGCCATCGGCCCAGCTCCCACCATTCACCTTGGGCCTCTTTTCCGTGGGAGAGAGTGATGTCATCCATTTTGCCACATCCGGTCCCACCTTGAGGAGGCGGATGACACTGGGGCCCAAGGCTGATTGGTCATTCGCATCGCTTTAATCTAGCGGGGATCGCACCTGACATTTTAATATAAGAACTCGGGATCGAATTCCTTTGGAACCTTTTTGTGGGATCGAATTTCATATTCAATCTCCAATAAGGGAAATAAACTCGGGAGATTATTGCACAGTAGAGAGTAATTAAAATCAAAAGAGAAAACTAAATTCATGCTCTTTACGTCTTACGCATTTTTGTCATTGTAGTATTTAGTAATTGCGATAGCTAAACCATCCTCAGGTTTTGCCGTGTTAGCAGCATTTTTATAGTACACTTAACTAATTAGAAGAAACTAAATCATGTGCATCTGTTTATGGATATTTCGCATGAGTGTACTGAACTGCAAAAGGTAACTAGTGTTCCTAGACAGAATGATCATATGTACCTTGTAAAGAGTATTTCTGATTATCTCAATGTTCATCTCGTTGAAATCCCCTCCGCTGATGCACCCACTGAAGTAGGGTCCCAATGGAGTGTCCACTAAGATGGCATTGTACAAATCAGCAGCACTGTTCGCAATGTGGATCAACTCCAGCTGGGGAAAACTTCCCAATTTGTGGCATTTCGGAAGCAGTTCACGCACCGGTCTGTTATGTAACACGCCAGTAATTACCAACACTATATTATCAATCATGTATCCGTAAGTTATGTAATCGAGGAACGTCGACAACGGTTCCACAGCCTGCTGCCTCAAATGTCCGAATTCGGTAACCAGTTTCTCTCGTAGGCGTTCGTCAATCACCGAGACGCGGAGAGGGCTGGGTTCGTTGGCAAGGAAGTTTCCATAATCGGTTCCTTGTAGGTGGAGTTTCAAGTCTTCTAGGGTTTCGCATTGGGATAAGTTGGAGTAGTCGGTAGATGTTAGGATCCCAGATCGGAAGCCTCGCAGGAGCCCCTCAAGGTACCCGCTGTTTATGTTAAAGTACATGTCCGTCATTTTCGAAACTTATCTGAAAAAGATCATTCTACAGCAGAAAATAATGAAATTTATCAAAAAAAAAATTGCTCTCAAAGAATAAGTTGCAAACAGAATTCATTTATAACAAAAACAACAATGATATTGAGATCTAATACAAATTTTCAACAAATTCATCGATTTCAAGAGCTACTTTTTTTCCTCATGTGAAACCACAATTGACCAATTATGGTAAATCATCGCAGCTCTAATTGATCAGAATTAAAGTTTTTCCTATCATCAATTCGTTTCCAGACATCAGACGCAATAACTCTGCATACGGCGAACGAGAGAGCGCTTCCTTCTTTTCTCCACAGAAATGTTATAGAAAACATCAGGTGGACTTGCTGGGAGGTGCTACCAAAATGACCCCGTCTCCTCTCACAAACATGAGTGGAATATTTCTTTTACTCGTCTTATAGATCTCCTCATAAGTCTCTTCGTCCACTTCAACTGTCGTGATCACTTCCTCAATGTCACTCATGATTAGATTCAAGTGATGGTCGTATGCATGTAGTTTGCCATATAGTACTCGCTCGTTTCTGAAACCATCAACATTATCTCAATTTGAATTGTGTAAATAAACCAAGATGACTTAACTCAGCAACTTATATTTTTCAGCCCCTTTTAGATACAATGAAACGACATCAGTTTTAGCCGACCAACTCTGGAGATTTTGTGTTTATTCCATTATAAAATTTATGCAAGAGAAGACGAAAGAAAATTTCCAAAAATTGTGTCCAACGTTCACAAAATATGCACTTCATCAGTAACGACGCATAGCTTTTGAAACGAAAATGAAATAGAAAACAATCACCTTAACTTGACGTAAATCCTCTCTTCGAGCGACAGTCTGATGAGATCAAGGGGCTGTTCCACCAAGGGCAAAGTGGGATCAGTAGACGAAGGCGGAGGTACATTGGCATCGCCTTGCTCATCCACTGCAGTAGCACCAGCACTACTTGACATTTCCAAAATCTATCTGAAAAAACAGAAATTTGATAGTTTCAGAACAAAATGCTATCAAATTTTAAGAACCATGTAGCAGCTATCTATAACTAATTTCACGTCCTATTGACAGACTCCATTCAAACTTAAAACAAAAATTAGCTCTGTAAAGAAACCAAATATGAGAAAATTAAATTAGTATAAAACGAAGTACAATGATTCCAATTTTCGTTTCTGAATCAAAACTGACTTGTTAAACTATTTTTGGTTGTAAATTGAAAAAAGCACATGCATTGGCTGCATTTACTCCAATAAAAAACTCTGATGGACTTGAAAACTACCCAAGTTTGTTGATGGCCATGATGATCTGTAGATTTAGGCGATGCCAAATGGTCCCTCGGGTAGTGAATTCAGAGGGGCGACCTAGATTCACTACTAGTTACAATCACGAAAGGGTTAAGTTAGTGGCAAGTATCTTTTAATGTACTACGTTGCATGCCCCCTTTTTTACTGCTCCTATGGCTGTATCGTCCGCTCTCGCTATTACAAGAACTTCCAATAGTATTTAATTTCATATAGACATTAATCCAGATAAGGGGCTCTTTGTGACCGGAACATAACCTAACATAGAGACGAAGCGGAGCTTAGCATCACCTGCGATACAATCATAAAAAAGCATCGAAAAACATGAAAAATGTAAAAAAAAATTAAGTGAACCAAAACTTTCGTATGTCTCGATGAAGGACACCTATTTCTCGATTTGATAGGGTAGTTTTTACGAAAACACAAAAAGTTTCAAAAAAGTCAAAGTTCAAAAAATATTTTCTCCGAAACCCGTAAGCTTCTTCTTCTAAAAGCAGGCCGTGAACGGTAAAAAAGAGAAAGTTCCAAAAATCGGGTTTCCCGATTGAACACATTACCTGAAAAATGGCATTGTAATTTTCGAGTAGAGTAAAAAAAAACTTCCAAAAAACGGCAAAAGTTAGAGATTTCATATTTTGAAAGCCATCCTTATTTCTAAATGCAACGGGGGGTAAAAAATTACAAAGGTAAGCTTCTAACAAACTGATGTGGTCGATTAAACCTATGATATCAGATTTGGCAGAATAGTTATCGAGAAAAAACCAGAAGTTTGAAAAACGGTCAAAAAATCAAAGGTTGATTTGTCCGGGTAACATGAATTTGGTTTCAAAATAGTTGGGCGTAGTCGCGTATGCAAAGGAGCATCCGACAACCTGTTCTATAGATAGAACCCTAAATGGCAGGTATAGGTAATCAATTTTTGGTAAAATTCATAAACTTAGAATGAACACTAAAAAAAACCAAAAAAAAAACGACTTTACCTATGACAACTTTTTGTTTTAAAAATGTGAGTAGCCACTAATGCAGATGAGCTTCTCACAACTCGTTACATCCCATGAACCCCAAAAACCCCGGTTTCGCAGGGTAGTTCTCGAGAAAAGTCGGAACCTTTCAAAAAACAGTCCACAAAATCCAAACTTTGACTTTTCCGAGGGCCATTAATTTTTGTTTTAGAAAGTCTTGGGTGTAGTCGCGTAAGCATAGGACCCTCCCATAATCTGTTTTTTTTGGGCCGATCAAAAACGTAGATTGGACGGTAAACTTGGAAAAAACAAAACTTAAAAAGAAAACGATCAAGAAATTAAGAAATTGACTTTTCCGAGGACAATAACTTTTTCTACATGAAAGGGTGATAGTTCGCTGTAGCAGAGAGCCTCCAAAACACCTTATCTCCATGGAACCTAGATTCTCAGACTGAGGTAACTTTTCTAGAGATAAAGAAAAAATCAAAAAACGGTCCAAAAAACAAAGACTTCCGTGGGCCATAATTTTGTATAAAAAAAGTTTGAGTTTGAATGCATCCTATTAATTGAAGCCAAAATCTCAAAATTTGTATCTCAAAAAAAACTGGTCAAAAGTAGCCCCCCCCCCTAAAGCAAAAAGAGTATGTGCAGTCTCAGAAAAACGAAACCAAAAAAAACCAATCCCATACACTTTCATAATACCTGTTTTTATCAAACAGTAATTCTAGATAAACATGCCAATCGCGACATTGCATTGGAATTCCAAATTAGCAACTGATCAAAACTTACGAAGCTGAAACAAGGCCGACAACCTGTGAGCAGACACCATTTGAGCCGAAAAAAGATTTTGTAAAAAAAACTTTCAAATCCTCCCTGAAACTACCCTGTAGTAACAAGTACTTATCCAGTAGTTAAATTTGAAGAAAACATTTCAAATCCTCTCTGAAATTACCCTGTAGTACCTAATACTCATCCAGTAGTTAAACTGGAATTATCATGAAATTGAACATGTCAGCTGCACAGCAGCATCACATGAATCACTGATTTTCTTAAACTAGTTGTTAGCCCAAAAAAATCTACATTCCGATTTGATAACTCTTGCATATCGCCAGCGTAAAAATTTAATTAGAAGGAAAGGGGATGCTTACACGGAGGCTGCGTGTAAGATCATAGTAAGATGGTTTTCTGAAGTATTGCGATTTTGTCACTAGATTGAATATTGATTTGTTTTGAGAAGGGATGTGCATTAATACTGAGGCTCCGACTTGTGGTGTTTCGAGCAACTGCAACGTGCGCTGTAGTTCTGGGTAGGCATCGCGGATTTGCTGTGCTATTCCTGTGCTCATCTGAAAGTCACTCGAGACACAATGTTTGATGGAGCCTGGAAATTGCAACAGATCTAATGTACCAAATAGGGTAGGCTATTCTTGAATAGAATTCACCGAGTCTTGGCTGTTACCAGTGCCATCGCTTGGCCGTGTCGCATAATTAGCACGTTTCAGGCTGCTTTTAATGATACTCCTCTTTTTTTCTCGTGGAGGGAAGGCTTCAATTGCCTCAGCTGCGTGTTGCCGTATTTTTTCCTGGTTTTCTTTCTGTGTAGATCTTGGACTAAAGGTAACAGGAGCAACCTCGTGTCAATCTACTGTTCGCAGCCCATATTTTCGAGAATGCATCTGACGAGGTGGTATCGTACGTCGTTGCTGAATCGAGTTAGTCCATAAATCCTGTCACGTGATATGGTTGTGAAATCAACGGAAACAAGGATGTCTAAAAACGCAATGAGTCAACTAAAGATGAAAGAAGTGAGGGGCAGATATCTGATTAGTCGTCAGAGTATGATAACCGAAAACAAAATAAACGTTCATTGAGCCGTTAGCCCAAAGTTTCAGTTTCTTTATAAGTGAAGCGAATTTAAAGAAGTCGTCATAAAGTTTTATAATTTCAATCGAACTTAGAGTTTAATTCGTAGTTTTCAAAGAATTGTTTTTCTTATTTCGAAGATGTTTGACAAAAAAATTGTAAGCTTAGGAAGCAAGAGTTAGAAAACAGAAGCGATATTTTTCTTGTCTTTTTAATTTATCTTCTAGGTCTCTCTTTTTCACCTTACTCTTTTGCTTATATTTTTTTCTATCTTTATTCTTGAATTAGTTTTCTAACCAACTTTTTTGCATACCTTTTTCTTTTTTTTCAAACTTTTCTATCTACCTTTTTTTTCTACCTTTTCAAAACATCTTTTATTTTCTTTTTCAACTATCTTTCTAATATTAAATTCTTTCTACCAAACCTCTTGTCTATCTTTTCGCGTTTCGATCTAATTTGTCACTTATCTTTCTCTACTGTACGAAATGATGAAGGCAATCTCAAAAAATTTCTATAGGGACGATCTGCCTGCTGGACTACTCGTGCGAAGGAGACATAGCAGATCGCATCACCGGCACTCAACAAGCGAAACTTTCGCTGGGCCATCGATTAAGTATAACCAGAATATATTTCCCTGCTTGGCTTTTGCATATTACAGGTTCATATAATACAATTATATTTCCTAGAGCACTGTGGTAAAAGCAAGAAGAAATCAGTCAAATCCGTAAGCATCGTTTTAAAATAAGCAGATTACTCTGAGGAGAATCCCAGAGCTCCAAGCGAGCTGCAAGTAACACCAGCATCTCATGGTCCAGATGTAGTGAAGCCAGAGATATCGAATACAGAGGGAGTGAATCTGAAGGCAATGAATACAGAGCCAGTTAATCCAGAGACTGAATCCTGACGCATTGAACACGGAAGGGACTGAAAAACAAAGGCCGACAACTACGGACTTGAGTTTTTAACCTGTAGAATCAACAGAAGCATGCACACTGACAAAACAGGCTTTTCCGAGCCAGCCTAGCTAAAATTGCGCACCACCTGAAGAATACAGAGATCTGGACGCAAATACGGCAAAAAAAAACAAATCCGTCATGGAAGTGAATTTTCCTACAAAAAGAGCTTCAACGCAAAATCTCACAATATCAACGAAAACAAGGAAGCCTGAAAACGCACTGAGTCAACAAAAGATGAAAGAAGTGAGGGCAGATATATATTTGATTAGTCGTCAGAGTATGATAACTGAAAACAAAATATGCGTTCATTGAGCCGTTAATCTAAAGTTTTGGTTTCTTTATAATTGAAGCCAAGATATTGAAGTTGTCATGAGTTTTGTAAATTAAATCAAACTCAGTTTAATTCGTAGTTTTCAAAGAATTGTTTTTCTTATTTCGAAGATGTTCGACACAAAATTTGTAAGCTTAGGAACTAAGAGTTAGAAAACAGAAGCGATATTTTCGCAGTTTTTTTGTGTATTTATTATTCTCTTTCAATATTTTTCTTGTCATTTTTTTGAACCTTGTAGGTCTCCCTTTTTCTTTTTTTTAATTGATCTTTTTCATCAGATTTTTCAATCTATCTTTCTAGCTATCTTTTTTCGATCTTCTTTTTAGTGCCAAAAGTTTTTTATTGGTTAAACATTGCCAGTTATTTCTTCTGACATTCCAACTATTTCTTTTAAAATTTTGAGCTTTTTCTGCTGATACTGCGTCTTTCGGACACTTGAATTCGAGTGGAATTTCGGGAAAAAGTTGGGTTTGAGCCCAATTCCGACATTTTGGCCCAAAAATGAGCCTAATTTCGTTTTTCGGCAAGTTCTTGCTCCTCAAATAA